AGGGGTACAGAGTTTCTGTATGGGATAATGAAATAGTTCTGGAAACAGACAGTTGCAATGAAGACACACATTGTGAATGTACTTCAAACCAAAAACCCATCGCCACTGAGTAGATTCTGACTCATAGTGGACCCCATTGGCTTTCTGAGGCTGTAAATCTTTACAGAAGTAGATTGCCTCATCTTCTTCCCATGGTGCGGCTGGTGGATTTGAATTGCTGATCTTCTGGTTACCAGCTGAACAAATGCCTTACTCACTGACCCACCAGAGCTCCTTTGTGGATGTATTCACGGACACTTGGAAATGAGTAAAATGTCAAATTATATGTTATGTGTATTTTATCAAAGTAGTAATAATAATATAAAAAGGCAGGCAAAAAAATCCCCATTTCATAGGCAACTCAGCATTAGAGATATGAAATCACTTGCTCAAAGTCATTCTGTGAAGTGGCAAGGGCAAGACTTAAACCCACGTTTGACTGTCTGGTCCCCCCTCCTCCCAGTCTCCTAAGGTTCCCTTGCTTTCAGCTGAGGCCAACTAGAGATCCATAACACCACACTTTTCACTCCATTACCATTTAAGCGCTATACACAGTTGCTCTTAGTGGCCCCTTTCTCTTCAGTTAGCTGAATGGAATTCCAGAAGGCTCTGCTCTATGACCATTACTTCCGAATAAAAGGGGTGGGCCTGCTAAGTCCCTTCTAATTCACCATGGGGAGACGGGCTATAAAGTTCACTCTACAAGTTTGTACCAGAAAACCTTCAGGATAAATAAGGCAGAACAAATACAGTTTGGAGCCAGACTATGTATTTCAAATCCTGGTTCTGCTCCTTACAAAGCTTTGTGATTTGGGGCAAATTTCTCCATTTCTCTGTGCATTTCCTCATCTGTAAAACCGATGTAAAACTATGATATCCCAAATTGAAGATAAATGAGAAAATGCCTCTAAGACTACAGTAAAGGCTCTGTAAACATCACTATAGGCCTCACTTGCCTATGTGCCTATGTGGGCTCTGGTCTATGTCCACATGGGGATTGGGTGTTCCTATGTCTGCCCAACTCCAGGCATGGCTGAGTGGAACCCTGTATTGTGAACACCACATGGGGGCAGAGACAGTCAGGGCTGTTCACGTCAGGTCTGGATGGAGCCAAGGCCAGCACCATGGCTCCTTTGTACTCTGGCAACATCGGAGTGTGTATGTTATTTGTGTGGTATGGTAGATCTCTGTTATGTTGCCCTAGTCTGAGTCTGTGTGTGATTATTCTCTTTGCACATTCATGTCCAGAGAACGAAGAACGTGGAGGGTGAAGGAGACCATCAGTCACCAGATACTCAGGGTAGAGTGCCATGCCCAGACAGCTGAGAAGGAAAGCTCCAAGGTACAGGGCAACTGACCACCACCTAGCCAGCTGCAAGACAATGAAGCATATTAACTTTTCTGGGACCAACCCCTGAAATCTTTGTGCAGGGTCACAATATATCACAAAATTTTAGGAGTTCACCTTCCTCCTCCTACCCCTAGTGCTAGGGGTAGTACTGTTGTTATCTGGGCGGAGAAGCCCTCTCCTGGAGCTCATGGGAAGAATCTCCGTTGAGTGAGTGACCTGTGGGCAGACAGTCCCAGGTGGTCTGAAAACGAGTGGTGATTGGTGGCAGCAGATTAACAAACTTAACAAAGTATCAGTCACTTACAAGTATACAAGCCTTTGTTAAAACCAGAGGGAACAGGTTGAGCTCTGCAGGTGGAGCCAATCTCAAAGCAAAGACATTTTCCACTGACTAGATGAAAACTTAAGTTAGCAATTATGACTAGGAAAAAGTGTAGCTTTATGTGAGCATATAAAGAAATTGGCTGTGGGACTGGGGAAGGTTCTGGGAGGGAGTAATGCTAGAGCCAAGTCAGGCCCCTGAGTACTTACTATAGCAGGAGCCCTAAATAACTGAGAAATGGGCAGGCCAGGTAGAGAACATCCCAGGGGTATGAGGCTTCTACACATGCTCCAAATAAGGAATTCCCCAAAACCTCAGGTTGGTGGGTCTGTGGTTATTCTGCTTAATTTTAATTTGCCAGGCCATACAGGCAGTTGCAAGCTGTTGCAGATGATAGCTCATGTACCTCCTTAAATATTCCATTTTCTCCTTCCTTTGGACATGCCCCTAGGGCGGCCTCCTGTCCTATCTTCCTGCCTAACAATCTGTGCACTACAGGAAATGATCCAAGTCTCTTGATGTCCCCAGTGAAGTCAGCAATCATGGAAGACTGGGGTCAGATTCTGCCCTTGGGAATTCTCAAGTTGGGAAGACCAGATAGGGTCAAGCATTGATCCACAATGGCTTCATCCAGGGTGTCCTGCAGTCTTCCTCTAATTGCTCACAGACTTTAGGGAGCTGAGTCTGTTGCTCAATTATTAAAAAAATGTTATGGAGAGTATAAAACCCCAAACCAAACTCATTGCCATTGAGTCACTTCTAATTCATAGCGACCCCCATTGGGTTTCCAAGGCTGTAAATTTTTATGGAAGCAGATTGCCTCATCTTTCTTCCATGGAGCGGCTGGTAGGTTTGAACCATTGACCTTTTAGTTAGCAGTCTAATCCTTAATCACTATATCACCAGAGTTCCAATAAACAAGACATACAATCCCAGCCCCTGTCAATATTACATTTGAGCAAAGTAATGTTAGAGCCAAGTCAGGTCCCTGAGTAATTACTGTACCAAGAGTCCTAAATAACTGAGAAAAAGGCAGGCCAGGTAGAGAACATCCCAGATAATGGATACAGTAAGTATGGAGGCTTGTGTGGGGAAGGAAGAGAGGGCTGTTAAGGAACCAAGGGGCTGGCAAAGCTAGGATCCAAGGAGACAGAGGAAGTGAGATGCCACATGGGTTGGAGAGGCAGGCTGGCCCAGGCCTGTAGATGGGGCTTTAGCCCAAAAGCAGGGATGCCCTAAAGGTTTTATGTAGGAAAGTAACCTGCATTTTCAAGAGCTGGGAGAGGTGGGGAGAACAGGTGGAAGACCCAAGTGAAGAACTGCCTGGGGATGGCAGGGGTTTGAACCAGGCTTAGAGGGATATGCAGAACAGCTGAGGAAGAGGGCACAGCATGGGGGTTCTGTGAGCTTCGAGGGTGCTATGTAGAGTATGTGTGGGCACTGGGAATAGCCCACCTGAGTGGAAACAGTTAGTGAATTAGAGTGTAAGGAGACAAAAGCTGTAATAGGGTGTTGATTCCTCCCCCCCCCCCAACATACACATCCTGGGCCTCCCTTACCTTTTGGGCAGACCAGGAGGAGTATCTGATGCCTTCATTTTGGCTCCTGCAGTACTGAGTTCCATAAGAAGGTAGAAATGCTAAGAACCCAAACTGTACTTCTACAGCTATGAATTAGGTGGCTCCATGTGGCCTTTTGATCCCTCACCTACAGCAGCAGCAGCAACTGAGTGACATCCTGAAGAGTCTTTGAATTGTCATTTCCCAAAGTGCAGATTCCTTTGCCCATCTACTACCTCATCTACACATTCATCAGGCTCAGGCCCAGCACCCATCCTAGCACCAGAGACCTGAAAGAGGAGTAGGAGCTGGGCCCTCAGGAACTGTCCAGCCTGATCTAAGGACAGGTGGGCTAACACAGAATGGAAACAACTCCAGCTCAAGGTGAAAAGATCAAGCAGGAAGGTGCCATGCCCACCCCTGCCATCAACCCCACCTGACCCACTCTCCTTTTGTATCTGCTCCCCTATTTGGGCCTCTCGAGACTTGTAGCTTCATGCCCTCCCAGGATGTGGCCCAATCCTTCTGTCCTTAGTTATAAGGGGCAAGTCATGACTTCTTCAGATCTCTTCCAGGGAAAACACAACCTCCAATGAAAAGATTACATGAGTGGCCAAGTTGGGCCTGGCTTGCTAATCTCTCTCTTCACCTTGCCCTGCTGGGGTCTGCTGTGCCCACACCCATTTCCTTTTGTCTAAGGATCAAATGTGGAGGTATGCTCTATCCATCATCTGAAGGGCTAACAGGAAACAAGCAGGGTATGGATGCAGCTTCCCCAGGGGTCCTGAGTATGACCTCTAGGTGTAGCCCACTCCCCACCTCTACCCCTGTTTTTCTCACTGCCCCCTATGAACCAAGCTCACTCTTTCTTCTCCAATCCCTGACCATGCCATAGGAGGCTGACCACTCTGGACTGCATCACTGAACTCCCTGGGAGTTCAGTGGGCTCCCTTTCTGCAGGATCTTGGTTTTGGCAATGGCTTGTTCCTTTACCTTCAGCCAGAGCTCTTGCTGGGTCTCCCACACAACAGATCTCACCAGGTTCTGGGAATACCTTTCCTTCCCTTCCCACCCACGGGTGGCAGTGGCTTTCCTGGTGCCCCAGCATCCCTGTTGGCTGCCCATACCTCTCTGAGCACGCCACCTCTGTCCACAGGGCCCTGCTAATCCACACTTAAAGCCCCAATTCAAGGCCACTTTCCCAGCTCTCAGGTGCATAATAACCTTCACCATGGCTGCTTAAATCTTTTAACTTCTACATAGTACAGAAAAATTGAGACTTGGCAAATTATAAGGCCATTCTCATTCTAAGGAAGTGTTAACATCCATTCTGCAAGCACCTCTGGCAGTGAAGATGTGGCCAGACTCCCACAGCCCACTGGTATTCAAAGACCAAGAAGGAAGGACCTCACATTTATTTATGGAAAGTGCTCTCTGCCAGGCATTTATGATCTTCAAGTGCACGTTCTTATATAATTCTATAATCCTATTATGTAGTTTTCATCATCCCAGTTTTACAGCTGAGGAAGCAAAGGCTCAGGTTCATAAAATGATTTCCCCAAGGTTACAGAGTTCACAAGTGGTGGGTTAGCGTAGACCCCAGGATATTTAACTACAAAGTCTCTGATGTTTCTGACATTGGGCTATGGGTGTGAGGTACCAAGAGCACCACCCAGAATCAATGGCAGGGTGGTGCCTGCTGGACTGGAACTGTCTTTGTGATGACCCTTCAGGAGTGGCCTGGGTTGAGTGTCACCCTCCATACCTGAAGCACAGAGTCTCGGCGGGCTGTATATGGTAAATGTTTCATGCGGAACCAGTGTCTAGGGATGATGTTCCCACTGGGTGTATACAGTTTCTCCCCACGTCTGCCCAGGAGACTGCGCAGGGCCAGGTTGCATGACAGAATCTTCTCATAGAACTCCACTCCCCCACGGGCATAATCCATAGACAGGGAAGCTGTGTAGCGGTCCAACCAGGTTTCCAGGGCGTGAGTGAGTGAGTCCATGGAGAAGGCGTAGGCCACAAAGCCCACCACTGCGGCCATCAGGTTGAAGGCAGCCCGTAAGGTCATGGGGCCTCCATAGAGCCCCAGTGCCTGCTTGGCACCCACACTCAGTACCCAAGTCCCTGCCAGGCAAGCAGGGGCTGGCAGGGTCTGCAGGGCAGCAACATTGCTCTCCAAGTATACCACCTCCCTGGCCAAGGCAAACTTCTGGGCATCATGGGACAGAGTCAGGGAATCTCTCAGCCGGGCCCCTGCTGGGCTATGCCAGTCCACTCTTTGCCCATGTACCACCACTGACTGGTCAGTGTTGCTCACTGGGTCACCCAGGAAGCTGGCAGGGATGCCCACTACACCCCCAGCTGGAAGCCGTGGGAAGCCAGCACTCACAGGCTGGAAGGTGAAGGTGGTAAAAGCCTTGTAGCAATGGTTTGAGGGGATGCCCATGTCCTGTAGCACCTCTTGGAAGAGGAACTGCAGCTCTGGGGAGAGTGGGGCTGGCTGGCCCTGAGGCCAGTACTGGTATAGCCAGCGGACCACAGGATCTGGGAAGAGGTGGTATGAAACCTGCGCTCCCACCAAGCCTGCGCAGGAAGATACCAGAAGTCCTGTCCTGTGTTTCTGTATAAATGCTGCAGCCCACCACAGAGGACCAGCCATGAGTGCTGTCACTGCTGACAACCTGGGTCAAGGAAAACAGAGGTCAGCCAAAAGTTCTCAAAGTCTGCTTGCACACTTAACAGTCTCCAGGACCACATCTGCTTTAACTGAGGCCATACAGGATGGGCTTAGAGACAGACTGGGTTCAAATCTCAGCTCCATTTCATACTAGCTCTGTGACTCTGGGGAAGTCACTCCACCACTCTGTGCTTCATTTTCACCAAATGGGTATGCCCCCTAGAATATCTGTGATGAGTAAATGAATGAACATACATAAAATATTTAGTGCCTGGCACAGCAACAGGTACCCCTTGTGGCAACTGCTAGGATCTTTATTATCTTCACACTAGGCATACCACTAAGTGTTTCTCATTGCACCCACTCCTCCCATAGTCAAGCCCTATCATTTCTAATTTTTAGATAAAATACATATGAACAGTTCTGACTACACATGTATTATCTAAAAACTGAATCCTCACAACTCTATGGCCTAATTAGTCCCTACTTTAAAGTTGTGGAAACTGAGGCACTGACAAGTAAACTGGCCAAAATCACTGGCTACCAAAGCAGCACAGTAACTGAATATAGGCTGTCAGGCCAACTTCTCGTTTTAGAAAATCTTATGTGTTAAATCACAAACATATACAAAAGTAGAGAAAGCAGTGTAGCAACCAAGTTCAACCAAAATCAACGTATGGCCAATTTTGTTTCATGTCTACTCCCACCCACACCCTCTTCCCCACCTGTTTATTCTGCAACACATCCCATACGTCCAATCATTTCATCCGTACTATATAAGTAAAAATTCATAATTATTTAACTTTGGTCGAAGCATACCATCTTCCTGAGAAAAAACGATTAGCAAATAAGTTGCTGCAAAGAACGGGGTGCTGGTGGTTGTACTGCTTGGCCTATTTCAACTTACAAAAATCCCTTGAAAGTCGTACCAAAACCAATGCCATCGAGTCGATTCTGACTCACAGCGATCCCCTCTGGGTTTCTGAGGAGTAAATCTTTACCGAAGTAGATGGCCAGTCTTCCTTCCGCAGAGCGGCAGGTGGGTTTGAACCACCAACCTTCAGGTTAGCAGTGAAATGCCTTATACGCCACCAGAGCTCTTTAGGAGATGATGAGAGTCATACATGGCTCCAAAAGAGAGAGCAACCCGCCCTCCCCC